CCGGGGAATTTAGACCCAGCACAGAAAGAAGATTATGACTTCACCACCAGCTGTTTCCAGCATCGCATCTTCCCTCACCCCTCCGCACCAGCCATGAGGCCACAGGTCCCCTCCCTGCTCCAGCCTTTCCCCAAGTCTCTCTGGAGGATAGGCAGCAGAGGGGTCTTCATCCACTCACCTGCTCTATTGGTGCTGGGTCTCCAGCCAGTGTCTCCCACCGGTATTTTTGGGACTTAGCATTCCGGAGATGCTGTGAGCATTCAGCAGCAATCCCAGCAGTGAGGAGTCCCCTCAGCCACAAGAGCACATGGCTGGGACACAGGATAAGGGCTGGCTCGGGGCCTCTCAGGACATCAGGACTAGTCCTCACTAAGGTAGATGATGACCAGGCTAGCTACGGTTTTCATCATCCGTGCAGTGTCAGCCACACCGGCTCCCAGTTCCTCTCAGAGATCATTATCTGGCTGCCCAGGCAGAAGTGCTCTCTCCTGGCACTGTTGCCCTCCCCATGTGTCACTTCCAGATGCCTTCAGCACCAGCTGCCAGTGCCAGCTCTGCCAGGGTGAAACTTTCCACCCCGTTACCATTAACTCCAGGGCAAAGCTTTGCTCACTAAGTGGGTTGTCTAGCCAGGGACCCACTCCTGGACCTGCCTGGAGCCAGCAGTGGGCAGCTTATTTGCTGAAGACAGATGAGTATGGATTGCAGAGAATATACAGGAGGATGGGCATGGTACAATCAGGCCAGTTTGAGCAAGACGGGATATTAAAAATCTGCTCTACAATGCAACCAGGGATAATGGTCCTACCTGGAGCCTCTGTCAGAGGGCACTGGCAGAAGTTTTTGGTGAACCCCTAGGATTTTGGAGTCAAGGATACAAAGGCTCTGAGGCCAACTATACTCCAACTCAGAAAGAACTATCAGCCACATATGAAGGAGTTAGAGCTGTTTTGGAAGTACCATGAGCAGTTGTCCAGTGGATGGACCTCATCCAAATGTAAGTAGGTGGATTGTGAATGTAGTCCACACAAATCCTGTAACCCATGTAAACGCCATGAACCACCATCAACATTAGAGGGGTCCTGCCTCCAGCCACACGGATGAGAGGGACAACCAAGTTTATTGGACTGTGTAGGTTTGGTGGCCTGGCATATCAGAACCACGAAAGTATAAGGCAGACTGATTCTGACTGCACCGAGGTAGGGTGGAGCTCTGGAACATCTTCAATACATTGTAAACATCATCATATGGGATAACACAGCAGATGAAGTTTTTAAGAAAGGTAAGAAAATAATTGAGATTCTTTTAGACACCGGCTTATACCATCTATATGATGAGAAAGGTGTCCTTCTTAAGAAGAACTATCCGATGAGTCAGAGTTGGAATCAGAGGGGAAGGAAGACAACCCTGTGACTGGGAAAAAACACCTAAAGAAATCAGATCACCCCATGACGGATGATCAAGATCCAGGAGAGGGTCCTTCTTAACCAAAGTCATCAGAAGATGACATTGACCAACTCTCTATCTTGCCTAGACTTTCAGAGGAGTCTGGAGCTGATGAGGATTGAAGATCAACAGGTACCAGCTGCTACTAAGACAGTGCATCAACGACAATACCATACCAATCAAGATTCTGTGGTTCCCATTCGTAAGCTGATCCATCAACTGGAGAGCCAAGGAATGATCAGTAAGGCTCAATCACCCTTTAACAGTCCTACATGGCCTGTGTGAAAGTCTAATGGAGAATGGAGACTAACAGTAGACTATCATTACACCATTATGCCACTTGATGAGTGCTGCCATGCCAGACATGTTAGAACTTCAGTATGAACTGGAGTCAAAGGCAGCTCAGTGGTTTGCCACAATTGACCTTGAGGATATTAGAGAAGAGATGCAACATACAAATGGGCTTGTGACCAAGAAGTGGATTTAACTATGGATGCTACTGTGCAGGTTATCCACAATTGTGAAACATGTGCCGCCGTTGAGCAACCTAAATGGTTAAAACCATTGTCGTATAGGGGACAGTGGTTAAAATATAAATATGGAGTGGCCTGGCAGATTGATCATATCACACTCCCTTGCCAAGGAAGTGCTATATGGTTTCAGTGGTGGAAACAAGCACCAGGTGACTGGAAACATATTCCATGCCTCGTTCCACTGTCCAGAATGCTATCTTGGGTCCTGAAAAGCAGATCTCATGGCAACACAGTACTCCAGAAAGAACTGAGTCAGACCAATCTCTATCTCTGAAGGACTTGCAAAATGTAAGAAAGTATGAGTGCATTAAGAAGAGTGTGTCCAGCAGATCAAGGGAGGTGCTCCACCTCCTCTACTCTGCCCTAGTGAGACCTCACCTAGAGTGTTGCATCCAGTTCTGGGCTCCTCAGTTCAAGAGGGACAGAGATTTACTTGAGAGAGTCCAACGGAGGGCTACGAGGATGGTTAAGGGACTGGAACACCTGCCTTATGAGGAAAGGCTGAGAGACCTGGGGCTTTTTAGTCTGGAGAGGAGAAGTCTGAGAGGGGATCTAATTAATATGTATTAATATATGAGGGCTGGGTGTTGAAAAGGAAGCGACAATCTCTTTTCACTTGTGCCCTGTGGTAGGACAAGGGATAATGGATTCAAGCGAGAGCACATGAAGTTCCACCTCAACATCAGGAAGAACTTCTTTACTATAAGGGTTACAGACCACTAGAACAGGCTCACCAGAGAGGTTGTGGAGTTTCCTTCTCCAGAGACTTTCAAGACCCCTCTGGATACGTTCCTGTCTGACCTGCCCTAGATTCTGTGGTCCTGCTCTGGCAGGAGGGTTGGATTTGATGATCTCCAGAGGTCCGTTCCAACTCCTAGCATTCTGTGACCTTAGCCATTATGAAGGAAAGCCACTTACCACACAGTTGTTCCAGTGCTGAGATAGTGAGGCTAATACCATAGACTTGAATGGTAGAGAAGCCAGACCATCAGGATCCCTGGCCAAAAACACAAGCATTGACAAGGACCATGGGCACACATGGTGACAGGCACAGCATAACGAACAGGCGTGCATGGCCTGTGGCATCATCAGGACACACTGCAATAACCGCAAGCCAGGCTGAGCCCACAGAGCACAGCTTGCTGCAGCAGGGATTATCGTCATGGCCCATGGCTCTGCCCTTGTGCAAGCATTCTGATCCCCAGCCTCCTCCAGGCAGTTGTCACTTGGCCAGGTAAGACAGGACTTGGCCATGTAAGACAGGATCTTTGTCATGGAGACCTGGACAACAGAGCTTTGTGCTACTGGAAGTGTCGTGACCATGGCTGCTGTCCCAGGCCAGTGACAGCGCAACTATCCCATGACACAGGAGCAGGGATTTCACCTGCTGTAATGGTGTCGGGAACTGCCAGCCACAGTGTCCTGGGGCCATGGGGAGACAGGGTCTGTGTGGGTACTTGCCAGTCCCAGAGGCTGGTGTGCCTCAGGAGCAACTGTCCCAGCACTAGCAAGGAGGAACCTCCCAAAATGAGGGGCTGAGACAGCAGGGATGGTGCTGGTGGCACATTAACTGGATGAGGAGGTGGCCAGGGTCAGAGTCCAGGCCACAGGGGAGGAGCACTGAGCTCCAGGGTCAGGGTCCACGAGGATGATAGAAATTGCTGGCACATGATGTCCTGCAGTAGAGTGCTGCATGCTGCACGGGGAGCCTCCACTGCTTCTCTCCTCCAGCCTTGGCTTCTGAGGACAGCAAGGTGCACCATGGCCCCCTGCCAGCTCCGCATCCCCCCACCCCAGGGGCTGCTCCAGCCCCTAGTCTTGCCAGAGAGACTTCTGCTTGGACCAGGGCCCACTAACATTCCCCCCCGCGTCCTGTCTGCAAGCGGCCGGCAGATCCTGGGCCACATGCACCTTGAGATGCTACAGGTGAGCTGCCTTAGCCCAACCTTCTTCCTCTCCCTTTCTCTCCCTCACCTGCCATCAGGGGCTGGGACAGCTTTGCTAGGATGAGGCGGGCAATAGTGGTGACAGTTTGTCCCCTGCTGCCCCAGGTGATGGATGAGATCAAAGCAGGCATCCAGTACGCCTTCCAGACACAGAACCAGCTAACCCTGGCTATCAGCGGCACTGGCCACTGTGCCATGGAGGCTGCCCTCCTCAACCTCCTGGAGCATGGCGACACCTTGCTGGTGGCCGTCAATGGCATCTGGGGACAACGTGCTGCCGACATCGCCAGGAGGTTGGGTACGCTGGGAACAGCCGGACAGCACCGATGGGGCTTGTGGGTGGGATGCCAGAATGTGACCCCTAGCTTGCTGTCCCCATTCTGGTGGCAGTAGCCAGTGACACAGCTTCTATAGCTGTAAAGTGCTCCAGGTTATTTCCCTCCACTTAGAGTGGTTTATGGCTTTTCCACTGGGCAAATCCACAAGAGGCTGGACCCTGGCAGTTGGCCTCACTCCTGGTTCATGCATAACTGATTCCTTCATGGAGCAGGAGGCTGCCCAGTGGGAGATATGCCCAAACCTCATTCTCCCTCTGCCCAAATCCCTCCCAGGAGCTGATGTCCATGAGCTGCTGAAGGCCCTGGGTGAGTACTTCACACCACAGGATATTGAGGAGGTGAGTGTCAGCCACAGTGTTGGGTGATGGGTGCAAGCCGGCCCTGGGGGCAATCACCTTTCCCTTTGTTTCATGCAGGGCCTGGCACGGCACAAGCCTTCAGTGCTCTTCATCACCCATGGCGAGTCTTCCACAGGAGTGCTGCAGCCACTGGATGGGCTGGGTGATCTGTGCCACCGGTCAGTGCACCTGGGCATCCACATGGGCTGGCAGCAACCCAAGGTCGCTACTGGGGATTGGGGCACAGAGATTTACATGCCCAGGGCTCCCTTCTGGCTCTGTTTTGCTGGAAGCAGTTAGTGCCAGTGAAAAATACAGCCTCAGTGCGACTGGCATGCCAGGGCTTGAGGAAGAGGGGTGGCAAGAGGAGGTGACAGGGGGAGGTGACAGAAACACCAGTCTGAGCATGTCCTCCTGCAGGCATGGCTGCCTGCTGCTTGTGGACGCGGTGGCATCACTTGGGGGAGCCCCCATCTTCATGGACCAGCAAGGTAAGGACTACAGTGCCATCACAGGCACCCAGGGGACAAAGGGCTTACTCCTGAGCCAAGAAGGCAGGGTGGTGGGATTAGTCCTAATGCTCAGGCTAGCAGCACTAGAAACTGGTCCAGCTGCAACCAGAGAGCCTATTCCACTCTGTCAGCAGTGCCAGAGTGTCCCCTAAAGCAGTCCAAACACAAGCAGGACCTGTAGTGTGTGCTACCCTGTGTTTCCCACCCACCACTTGCACCTGGGTTGGGGGGGCTCAGTGTGTCCCCAGTGTGTCCCCATTGAGACCCCCCTTAGCCCCTAAGGAGCTGCCTTCCCTCTTGAGCAGAGATCGATGTCCTATACTCCGGATCTCAGAAAGTCCTCAACACCCCCCCTGGCAGTGCCCCCATCTCATTCAGCGAGCGAGCCAGGTAAGGGCAGCCTTGTCCCATGGTGGGAAAGGAAACGGGGCTGGTGGGAGGCTGTTGCTTACCTCTGTTTTGTCAGCTATCCACTCCAGCCCTGCTTTGGAGAGTGCACCCAGCACCAGCTTTGCAGACTCAGTCTGTCCCATCCCCAGGCAGTGATGGGCACTGGAGCGTGTACTCGCTTTGGAGCGGGCCCTCCCACAGGACTAACCCCACCCCAGAGCCCCACCCCAGAGCCGGTGGTATCAAGTTCTGGCTCCTCCCCAACACGCTGCTTCACCAGGGAGAAGATGCTGAGGAGGAAGATGAAGCCCCCATCCTTCTACCTGGACATGGGCTGGCTGGCAAACTACTGGGGCTGTGATGGAGAGCCGCGAAGGTGAGGGCAGGCTATGCCAGGACAGACAGCTACAGCTGTCTCACCCACAGCCTTCACCCCAGCTCGGGAGCTGCCTGGCCTGCGAGGTCCTGGCCCTGTCTCCCCTTCACCATGTCTGCTGGTTGCAAAGCAACCCTTGGGGATTTGCATCCCCTCTGCACTGGCTAAAGAGGAAGGAGGATTCCATGAACCACTTCCCCCTCACCTCAAGCTGGAGTACTGCTCTGCTGTTGGCTGGACCAAACCCACCTGGGTGCCCCTTGGGTTTTGCAGGTACCACCATACAGCACCAATCAACAGCTTCTTCAGCCTGCGGGAAGGCTTGGCCATGCTGGCAGAGCTGGTGAGCAGCACTGGGCAGGCAGGGGGGCACTGGCAGAGCCACTGGGACTTGGGGGAGTGAGGTGTGCCAGGAGGTCCCTGCCACCAGCAAGGACCTTCTTCCTTTCTACGCATAGGGTCTGGAGAACTCGTGGGAGCGCCATCGAGCCAACTGTGCCCTGCTGTGCCAGGGTCTATGCGACCTGGGGCTTGAACTCTTTGTCAAGGAGGAGGTAAGTGTGAGGTAAGCCCCCATGGTGCAGGGACAATGTGAGGATATGGTCTTGTATGGCTGGAGACATACCTGGGCAGGTGCTGATGCTGGAGAGAAAAGTCTTCCTCTGCTGATGCTCTCTCCTGACAGGCTATTACGCTCACTGGGAGACAGGACCATAGCCAGGAGCTGCAGATTTAACTGTTTTTCTCTTCCTCAGAAGGCAAGGCTTCCCACTATCACCACTGTCAGGGTGCCTGAGGGATATGACTGGAAGGAGATCACAGCCTTTCTCATGGACAGTCATGCCATTGAGATTGCCGGAGGCCTGGGCCCTTCCATGGGCAAGGTGGGCAGTGTCCTCCTCTCCCACTGCTCATGGCCAGACACTGAATCCAGCTGCAGCTGCATCTGTCAGCAGTGCGCCCCATGATTAACTGGCACTCTCTGGCTGCAAGCAGCAAACACGCAGCTGACCGCATCCCGTCACCTGCAGCAATGCGTAGCAGCTCCTAACGACACAATTGCTGGGTATAACTGAATAACAGTGCACATAATTAACATGGTGACACATCTTTAGATGAAATGCATGACATATAGGAGCAAGCAGGAAGCTGGGCACATATGCTCATGCCTAGCCATGCACATGCATGCTCTGTGTGGAAGCCTGCACTCTGCTGTCAGCCACTCTGCTCACAGGGAGACAGCGTTGGGCAAAGAAGGGTGCTGCAGGGACACCCTTGCCCTTCTTCTAGGTCCTGCGAATTGGCCTCATGGGCTGCAACTCGACAAGTGGAAACGTGGACCGTCTGCTTCATGCCCTGCAAGATGCCCTCAGGCGCTGCCATCGCAGCAGACTGTGAGCACTCCGACAGAGCTCTGCTGCCTCCCCGGGACAAAGGCAGGCTATGCTGCAACACCCAGCAAGCCAAGACAGAGAGGAGAAGCTGGAAGAATCAGGGAACGCGAAGGTGAGGGCTGCAGCTCAGCCAACACTGGATGTGGCTCAAAACACCTTCTTGTCCCTTTACACAGGTCACTCCTCTCCGTGATGGTCTGGCCTCCAGCTCCTCCCCTTCTCTACATATGGCAGCCCCACTGCAAGTTGACACTGGGCCTGGATCCCACCACAGGTCACTTCCTCTCCCAACTCCATTGCTCTTGGCTGTCCCTGCACCAGAGCGCAGCAACACAGTATGCCAGCGATCCTCCCCAGATTAGATACCCTGAGATAAAACACGCAACCCAGCGCCTCAGTTCTACTAGGGGAGTCAAGAGTCTGTGCATTCCCATTCAGGTGCAGCAGACATGAACTTACTCTCTGATATCTTTCCTCAATAAAGCAACATGGTAGCATGCTGTTCCCTGGCCTCATAGCTCACCTTGCATCCCCCCAAGTTTCAAGACATCCAGATGGCAGTGGTGGGGTCCCATTCAACTCTGCCAGGGGATTTAATGCTGGATCTTGGAGAGGAGCTGAGACATTACTGAATCTAGTGCCATCCTGGATTTGGTACACCTCGAACAAGTGCAAGCAGATGTGGAATGTCTGCTTGAGCACCATGTCCCAACATCACCAGCCTCCCACAGCCTCCACGATCGGGTTGGGCAGCACATGCAAGCATCTACCAGGGGCTGAAGGGTCTAAGGAGCAAATTCCAGCATATCCTAAGCTTCCCAGCCTATGTGGTTTCTGCTGCTGCCATGCTGTGCCTTGAGAGACCAGCTGAGGGCCTGGCATTACCTGGCTGAGCAGGATGTCAAAGTAGGCTGGGTCCCTGTAGGACTCATCCTCAGTGGAGAGGTACAGGAGTGCCTAGGTGCTGGGATCTGCCTGTCAGCTGTCAGTGCATGCACAGAGGCCAAAGGAGAAACAGAGGAAGTGTCAGTGATCCCAGGCAAAGCTCTTTGCCTTACGGTAGACGGAGGTGAGGTCCAGGGCCTCTCTTTGGAAAAGGTTCTCCTTCAAGTGCAGTAAGTGAGGCAGGTGCTATGTGGCCAGGAAGAGGACGAGTATCACCAAGAACCTGTAGATGGAGCCCTCCAGGTCATAGAATCATAGAATAGTTTTAAGATCATCAAGTACAACCATCATGTCCTGCCAGTCCACTGGGGAGGGGAAGAGTTCTGTCTGTGCTCCACAACAGCACCATCTGATGGGAGGGAGAGTATAGGACTGAGCACTCCCCACAAAAGCCATACCTTCACACCCTGCAGGTCACCACCATACAACAACCTGTGAGGCTGAGTTGTCAACATGGACATCATGTGCTCAGCAACCTCTTGGAGCTGGTGCTTCTGCTGATGCAGGCACAGCCCATGCCCCACTATCCCTTATCTTTGAACCTTTGCTTTGCTCCCCAGAGAGCCCCTGTCTCAGTTCCAGTGCGAGTCCTAGCTCTGCAGCAGCTCTGAAACAACGTGCCCAAGCTTTTCACAGGCACCAGGCAATAGTAAAAATCCTCACTTGTGGTTTCTGTCAGCTGCTGCCAAGGCAGGTGAACCTCCAGCAGCTGTCATGCCACCTTCCTTAGCATTGTGCTAGCAAACGGCCCAGCACCAATGATTTTTGAAAACATAACATAACAGACAAGGCACACAGTGGGCTGGAGCAGAAGATATTTTTTTTAAGGACAGATACATACTACACCCTTTAAAAAAATACATATATAAAAATCAAATAATGCAACATAAAGCAAAACTCACAGGAATTGGGTTACTTGGAGCTGGAGCCATTCTCTCAGCAGAAGATTACTTTGTCTCCTATTCCATCGCAGCCGAGGGAGTGGCCACAAGGTAGGGCACATCTGGATTGTGCCACCAGGTGCTGTCTCCAGCATGGCCGCTTTCCTGACCGGTGTCACCAGCTGGCATGGGTCTAGAGTGTCAAAACCAGGTTGGGTGGGGACAGGAGGGTTTTTTCAGAGGCAACACCATCCTCAACCCTGCACAGGCACCTCTCAGCACACCAGGCCACAGGACAACTAGTGGCATAGCAGGCACAGCAACACAATCCCTAGCATGGCCCCTGCAGACACAGTCAGCCTGTGCCAGGGGATGCACGGCTTATTAGCACAGAGTCCTAGCTTTTAACGCTCTGAGTGTTTCAAGCCAGACATTGCTAGGTCAATCCAACAAGTGCCTGCCACTTGCAAGGAAGAAGGATCAAATCCCTCTAACCATAGCTGGCAGCATGCATCCTTTACGGACACAGCCATAGGCTGGGACATTCCAAAGCATTGCAGGCACTTGGGCTGAGTTGCTTGGAATCTTCTTCGAGCAGCAACTCAGCCAGGGTAGGGTGCAGGGGAGCAGCATTGACTCCATCTGCCCAGAGAGCTGCTGCCCCACCAGCTTACCTTCAGCTGATTGAAGGTGAGACCACTTTTCCCACCCCCCCTCTCCCCACACACTCCCTTACCACATAGCTAATCAAGCAGGGGAAAGCTGTCCAGACAGGGTGCCTGAAGCAGCTTTAAGATGGGAAGGATCTGGTGAGAGAAAGTGGTGTCCAGCAATAGGGATGACGGAGACCTGCATCCTCCCAGCTGGGGAGAGGATACCTGCAGTGACCTGGCATTTATGAGGATACCCCCTGGCCACCCAAGTAGCCCCAGACACACAGCATCTTGGATTCACCTCCTGCACCTACCTCTGGCAAAGAGGAACCTGGGAGATTTGCAGTACAATGGGGAAGCCGCTGAGTAGCTCCTGCTTTCCCAGGAGGGACAAGATGTGAAGTAAAGCAGAGCTGTGCTCCCCTACTTGCAGGAGGAAGGGCTGCAGGCTGCCTTGGAAGGGAAACTCGACTGGACCCCAAGGAGGGGCTGAACAACCAGCTGGACCACATTGTGCCTAAAATAAGCCTGGGCTGGTCCAACAGGATGTTCAGCCACTCTTATAGGCCAAGTAACTGTGCTGGAAGGTGAGACGTGTGTTACCCCAGTGCTGCTCCCTCCTGCAGCCCACCCTGGAAGGTACCTTTTTACCCTGCTCTTGCCAGATGCCAAGGTTCACTCCCAAAGCCTGAGCAGGGATCTGAGAGCTGCCAATCTCTGCATGGCCAGGGTTCAGCTCCTGGAAACAATTTGGGTGATTCCTTCAGTTGCTTCCACCCACTCTTCTCCTGAGATGCCTGAAATTTGGCTAAGAATTTTGCCCAAACACAGGGCAGTGGGTTTGGACATCACGAGGAAAGTGAATTCACCCTCCTGTTGACATGTCCCTCCACTTCCCTATCCCTTTCCCTTTCTTGCCTATAACTGGCAGTGCTGCCGGCCAGGGGAGATCCCTGGGACAGGGTCACCCTGCTATGTGCGCAGCTGAGCTGCTCACCTCCAGCAATGGGAAGAGGCAGGGATGAAGTGGGCTGCTTCTGTCACCTTCCAGAGACTGTCTTTGGGGAAGCCTCTGTCGCTCTGCCATCCCTTAAGCCAGAGCAGCTCCTGCCCCCTCCTCACCACAGGGATGATGTCAAAGCAGACGGACTTCCAGCCACCATGGATTAGCAGTAAAAACTCCACAGCATCCTACTGCAGATTTTTGGCCCTGAGGTCACCTAGATAAAGAGGGGTTTGTTACGGTTAGGAAGTTACCACAGCTGTTCCCACCAGCTGAACCAAGTATGTGCTGCAATACCCATGTGCACACCCCACCCTGCTCAACTCACCCTTTTCCAATGCTGCAGGTGACTCCTCAGTGAAAGCCACTCTTCACAGCACAAAGTCCCAAGCAGCTGAATGGGGCCATGCTGCTGAGTGGCTAAACAGTGCCAAGAAAAACAACATGGTACGAGAAAAATGGACCAGGAAAGGTCTCCAGATGTGTGGATAGAGGAAGATGAAGGGCTCTGGCTTGGTGGTAGAGGAAGGAGGGAATGGTGGGCTTGAGGGGGCTGGATTAAGAGACTTTTAGACTTGCTGGTCCTCTCATATCACCTTTCCACCAGGGCTTAGATTTGCTTCAAGAAGCAACCTTGGAGATGGAAATATATGAAGAAGCTAATGTGAACCCTGCTGGGTCCCTTCCTCATTGTGTCCTTCCCAGGGATGCTGCTTCCAGCTGGAGCCTGTATGTATGCAGAGTCAGACCCATCCATGCCCCATGGCCCCAGTCCACTCCTGATGCCTTCCCAGCTCACCCTCCAAACACCCTCCTCCAAGGAGCAGGGGACACTTGGAGGCCAGGAGAGACAGGGAAAACATGGTTAGGATGAGTCAAATACACCAAGCCCTGAGCAAACTCTCCCTGGGGACTAACCATAGAGGTGAGTGAACCCTGCATGGTGCTGCCACCCACCAAGGTGGGTGCCATTAGCCCAGGGTGAAGATGCCCAAGGATGATTCTGCTGCTGTGGGATGGGAGTAGTTTGCATCTCCCCTTTCTTAGCTAAGGGCAAAGCCTGTCTCAGCATGCAGCAGTGCTTGTGCAGGCTTCAGGTTGGCCATGTGCCTGGGGACTTACATCTCAGGCCATTTGCACAAGAACCACTGTCGAGCTGGGCTCCACAGCTGTGCTTGAGGAAGCAGTGAAGCATCCTGCTGGTATATCACAGAATCATGAAGTGGTGTTGGCAGCACATGATTGCTGAAATAAGGAGCTTTTCAGGTGCTGGAGAACTTTGCCTGGAACCAGGCATCCCACACCACCTCTCTACTCCATGACACACATGCTGCCAGTCCATTCTTCCAGTTTGGTCCCTGGAGAGGTCACTTCCAGATCGCAGATGCATAGATCCGGACAGTGCCCCACTGGAGTGTTCCCGGGTCAGCATGCCAGCACGCTCAGGGCATTGCCATTAATGCACAGGAGGACCTCCACAGTGACAGCATGCTCAGAGACACAGAGAGTGAACCTGAAGATTTCCAGGTCCCTGTCATAAACCACAAGGAAGTGGGGCTCCCTAAGACGGACACCCTCCAGCAGGGTCTGCTGGAAATTCTCCAGCCGTTGCCTCTCACAGGACGTGATCACCTCGAGGTAGCTGTGTCAGTGGGAAGTGCTGGCTACTATGGCAGCTCTGTCACTGTCCTGAGCCTTCTCTGAGCAGGAGTGAAAATACATGGGCAAAGAGAGTAGATCTGGGAGCTGATGCAGGATGTGTGGAGGCAAGCTGCATCTGTGCACCGACAAGCACCACTGCTTGGCAAATGTCATGGAGAGCTGCTGGGAGCACTAGTTTCACCCAGGACAGAGCCAAGGCAGAGTACTGAGTCACGCCTTGCCCCAGTCAAGTCCAGCAGGATGACAAGAGATGCTCAGCCGGCAGGTCATGCTGGGACAAAGCTGTGGTCTGCCACACCTCTCCCAGCACCGGGGCTGTGTGCGGGCAGCATACCCTCACAACTGGTGCCAGATGAAGGTGATCCGCTGCCATTGCAGGTCTGCACCGAACTTGCGTTGCTCCCATGGAAGCTGGCAGCAGGCTTATGCCTGAGTTGGACCACGCTTTAGTGGCTGTGGGCCACCTCAGGACCCCACAACCACCATGCCGGCACTCCGTGCAGTTCTGCAGGCCCAGTCCCGGGCTCAGCCCATGGCTCCACTGGGCTCAGGCTCAGGCTTGCCAGTTGGGGGCAGGCTCTCGTGCCCCTTGGCCGGACAAAGGCCCTGGGCCCAGCCCTGCACTAGGCCCACAGCTTTCTCAGAATTACCGGGGGCGGGGCGCGGC